CCTTCCCTTTCTATTCCCAGACCGCTTCCGATAAATTCCACAGAGAGAAAGCGCAGAGGGAGCGATTCTCGAAGAGAGAGAGAGAGTGTCTTTGTATTCAATGATGAAGACTAGTAATGGAAAAGGATCAGTCTCTGTTTTGGTGCTGTGTTCAGTGTTTGTATTGTCGATCACGGTCGTGTTCATTGTTAATTCAGTCGACTTCGTTTCGTTGATCCAATTCACTACTGGTTCGAAATCGGAGCATAAAATACAGGCCATCGAGTTGCAGACGACGGCGATTACAACTGCACTGCGTGGATTCCGAGCTGCTTCCTTCGCCGCCGATAGTCACTCTCCAAACGTAACAGTCATTGCGAGCAATAACTCCGCTCTGCCTCATGTATGTATATTTGTTTTTTACAGTACTGTATGTATTTGTTTTGCTTACTTAAGCTTCGGATGATCTTTACATGGAGTAATGACAGCATAATGCTCTCTCTCTCTCTCTCTCTCTCTCTCTCTCTCTCTCTCGTTTTGGAATTAGAAAGTACGTAATTAATTGCAAGAAATTTGATATTCCAGTTGCAGAGAAAAGACCAAAAACTGGAGCAAGGACTGGCCCGGGCACGAGCCGCGATTCGGAAAGCAGCTTCAAGATCAAGCCAGAACCTATCGGCGATCCGCCGTATTGTCTCCGCTGAAATATTCCGTAACCCGGCTCATTTTATCAGTAAGTTTTTTTTTTTTTTTTTTTTATAGTGTAAAAAATTAAGAATAATATTATTTGACTTTAAAATTTTAACTTAATTTGTTGACATAATGACGTGATTTCAATAGAATTATTAGATCAACACTAAATTTTAATATTTAATAGAATCCATAATTAATTTAAAAATTATAATAAATTAGATTAGCATAAGAAGATTTGAATTCTTGAACTTCAGCAATACAAAGACTTGGAAGACTTCTAATTGTAAGACTTGGAAGCCTTCTAATTCACGCCTGGTGTGCCCAGTGCGCACTCACTCATTGTTCCCTCCACTCTTCTTATGGAGGAGAAATAAAAAGCCATGCTAATGGCATGGTACTCATTGCTACACCAGCCTTGAATAGTGAAAAGACAGGAATGCCCTTCAACTTAAACAGAAAGCAACTCGATTAATACTTAATACCCTATGAAACACATTATTATATGTTCACACGTGCATTCCCAGAGATATAAAAAAGTCTATTAGTATGACCATGTAATGTACGATTCAAACAACAAAAACGAATAAGACAATGTTAGTTGGACTGATTGAAAAATAAGATAAAAATTTGGAATTCCATGATGTGGCACTGATGTTTTTTTTGTCCCACTTTTATTCATTTTAATATTAAAATTATATGTTTACCATGTTAGCCTCATAAAACAATTTTGCAAGTTGGAATGAGTTGATCTTGCATTTTTTAGAGTTCTTAACCTGAAAAGCTTTTGCTCTTTTAATCATCTCACGATTTATTAAAACAACAACGAATCACCAATGATTACTAATCCATTCATATCTAAAGGTTCCTAGGAAGTGTAAGTTACACAATGAACTTAACCTTACCACTACTGATAATTGTTATCATGTAACTGTTAGGCTTCCAAGGCTTATAAACTTTTTGTTATTGAATGAAAACTACACATATAAGAATAATGATATGTATCCCAAATTTGCATTCCAAATCAAGGAGGACTATTGGATCAGTGAATTCCATTTAAAAAAGTTGATGAAACCTACTAATCAAATAGTTCTTCTTGATTTGAAATACAAATTTGAATTACAAATTTAAGATATATAACACTACTCCACGTTATAGACGGCTATAATGACTTTACAGTTTTACTTCTGTTTCTGAAGTGCCCAAAATGGTCACTTCCATGCTTCAATGTCATTTGTATATACTATGTATTTAAAGTGCTCTTCAACTTCCTGTTATTGAGTGCAAACTACACAACATAAATGGCGATAATGACTTTGACAGTTTCATCCCTTTAATTTGTAAAGTGCCCAAAATAGTCAGTTTCATATCCAATCTTCCATGTCTTAATGTCATATTATATCCTATCTTATTTAGTGCTCTTAAACTTCTAGTTATTGAGTGCAAACTAGACACTAGAGATGGCAATAACAACTTTTCATTTTCCTGATTCATCCCCTTTCCCAAATAATCATTTCATATTCTAATATCATTTGAAAAATACTATTTTCACCTAAAATATTGACCTGCTCTAATCGATTACAACTAGTGAATAGATATTGGGTTCTAACAAATATTGAAACTCATAGTGATTACTCAATAAACCAAGTTCGTATTTTAAGTGAGAAATATGATTGCTCATTTGCTCATACCATATTGGTATATTATATTAATGAAACGATTAATATATCCTTCTTTTGAAAAACTTGGCAGGAGTTATATGGAAATGGAGAAGAGGTTCAAGGTATACGTGTACGAAGAAGGGGACCCACCAATCGTACATGATGGGCCCTGCAAGAGCATATACACAATCGAGGGTAGATTTATACACGAGATGGAGCACGGTAGTAATAGGTTCAGGACAAGAGATCCTCACTTTTCTCACGTTTACTTCATGCCCTTCAGCGTCGTTTGGATGGTAAAGTACTTCTACAAGCCTAACTCTTACAACGTGTCTCCTCTCAAAGAGTTTGTGGATGATTATGTGAGTGTCATCTCCACAAAACACCCTTTCTGGAATCGAACTCAGGGTGCTGATCACTTCATGCTTTCATGCCACGATTGGGTAAGTCCTTCGCCATTCATCTTTTTTGAATGAGGAAATTACATATATTGTTCTCAAATTATGACATTTGTGTCAATTAAACCCTTAATTTTTTTTTTGTCAATTGAATTATTCTATTTGCCTTCGTTAAAATATGTCACTCACGTGACTATATTGCATAAAAAGGCAAAATGACTCAATTGACACAATTAGATAGTTCAGGAACTCAATTAACAAACGAAAAAAGTTCAATAACTTAATTGACACAAGAATTATAATTTAAGGGTCATATATATAGTTTATTTCAACCTTTTGTGTCACATGATTGACACACTTCACCACTTTCTGTTAGAAAATCTAATGAAGGCAGACAGAATAGAAGGTCTCAATTGACACAATTAGAAAGTTTAAGAGTTCAATTAACATAAAAAAAAATTCAAAAGCTTAATTGACATAAGGGTTATATGTGTAATTTATTCTTTTCGAATTATATATTGAATTTGGTGAAGAAGTTGATTTTAAATTGAGTTCGTAAGTGTGCATGAAATAAATATAAAGATGATGAAATAACGAAAAAAATTTATGATGGATGGGAGACCTAATTTGAGAATATAATTTAGAACATAATTTATTACTACTATTATGCCGAAAATATGTTTCAATATTGAATTGGGCCTACCGTCAATTTGTTGACAATAATATATTAGACCTTCAAATTAGGTACAAGTAGTATTATTAATAACCCAATTGGTGCTACTTTGTGCTTATTATACACACTCAAAAAGAACACAAAAAAAAAAAACCAAAGCAACTAAAAGCTCAAACCCTTGCACAGCTGCATGCACACGCATACATGTACTGTGGAAGGGTATATGTTTGTTTATTTGGTAGCAATTTTAGGACTTCCACCTATGTTTCTGTATATTCAAGAAGCGTTGCTGGCCAAATCAAAAAATTGAAAAGACAAAAAAGAACGGAATGAACAGTGCACTTAGAAAATTTAGAAGGCAAACATGCATTGATTCTAAGCCCTTTAATTCTTTGTATGATTTTGGCAACAATGCAAATACACCAAACCAGTCTGAATTTTTATATCACCACCGATTATATATTAAATAAGTTGTCTACATTATCCGACCCTTCATGACTCCATAGTGACAGGAATCTAATCACCCATGTGTTTGGGTACCCTTCCTAATCTATTACATATTTAACAATTCAGTTATATACCTCCTCACGTCAGTTTGGGTTCCAACCACTGCAGGGTCCACTTGCCTCAAAAGGTAACCCATTCCTCTACAACACTTCAATCCGGGTCTTCTGCAATGCCAATTCCTCCGAAGGCTTCAACCCACAGAAAGATGTCAGCCTCCCAGAAATCCATCTCTATGGTGGCATCGTAAACCCCAAGCTCCGCTCTCCTCCACCAGCCAACAGTTCAAGACCCCACCTTGCATTCTTCGCCGGGGGAAGTCATGGTCCAATCCGGCCAATCCTCCTCCAGCACTGGAAGGGCCGTGACCCCGACCTACCAGTTTTCGAATACCTTTCCAAGGATCTAGATTATTACTCTTTCATGCTCCAATCAAAGTTCTGTCTATGTCCTAGTGGGCATGAAGTGGCTAGCCCAAGAATTGTGGAGGCCATTTATGCTGAATGTGTCCCAGTGATACTATCTGATCACTATGTGTTACCATTTAGTGACGTGTTGAAGTGGGAGGCATTCTCAATACAGGTTGAGATTTCGGAAATTCCGCGGTTGAAGGAGGTGTTGATGGCAGTTCCGGAGGAAAAGTATGCGAAGCTGAAGGAGGGTTTGAGGGCCGTGAGGAGACATTTTGTGTTGAATCAACCAGCTAAAAGGTTTGATGTGTTTCATATGATATTACACTCTGTGTGGCTTAGGAGATTGAATGTAAGACTTTGATAAATGCTATATAGATTTACTTGTGGATAGAAAATTAATGAAAAATTATATTAACGAAAAATTATAAGGTAGTCTTGATAACATTTTTACTTTTTTTTTTTTTCATATATCTACTCTCAGCAAATTTTTAATTAACTTTTATTTTGCATTTTTTTATTTCTTTTTTCTATTTTCTCGTCTTCCTTTAAGCTTTATCTCACACTTCCCCGTAAATAGACCTAAATACAATGACGCCCCCTATCTTTTCTAAAATTTCACTATGCTCTTTTTTAGTTCTTATGTTCACTTTATTCACACCTTTTACCGTGAACAGATTTGATTGACACACTAAAAAATCTTTAAACAATACGTGAAAAATACGTCCCCAAAGCATATATAAATTTGTACTGTTTTATTAGTTTAGGCAAGGATTAGTGCTACCATACATTCGATTGCCGTAGTGCAGTTATCTTTCAATCAATTTCCGATCCCCAGTGAGGCAGTGACATATCATGAATTCGCCAAGGGGACCATGGCTCAACTCTATTACCCGGAATGATTTCAAAAATCATAAAGCTGCCCCTTAGTTTTTCAAAAAGTATTGTAGATAATTTTACTTGCTGTGTACAAAAAGTTCAATAGGTTGATACTTATAACCAAGTTAGAAATGTAATCACATGCCTTTACAGTGAATATATTTGTTTGGATGAATATCATACCCAAAGGAAAAAAAAAAGTGAAATAAACTCAAAATCGAGTTATAAATTTGACTTAGATTAAGAGTAGTGTATCAATTAATGACTTATTTCTAATATACATGGTATCATTTGAAACTACTGCTTGCAAATGTAATCCGTTCGTAGTCATTACATCATATTATAAATGAGACACTATAAATATTTATAACGGTAGTAAAAATCACTTTTAAAATTTTATGATACAAACTAATTTTTCTCATAGAATTTATTCGGGTCCCCCACACCAAAAAATTAAATAGGCTCACTATGCAAATAAAAAAATAGAAACCCAACCATGCCAAATTACCAATAGCCTTTGGAGATTTTTCTTCAAAATCTATTTTCCCGTCTCTTTTTTTTTTTTTTGTTTTTTTCTTCTCATGTATAAAACTCCCTCCAAGTAATGTTACAACTAACACATTTAGAAAGAGAGAGATAAACTAGGGCTGTCCCAATGGAAATTGAGGCCCTAAGCAAAAGTTATAAATAAGGACCTTTAAAATTAATAATAAATATATACGATAAATGATTAAAATTTTATTAAAAATTATTGTTCTAGCTTTTTTGTGATGCAAATTAATAATTAAGTTTCTATATTCAAATTTTGTTAATATATTTTTTTTAGTTGATAATATGACTAACTCACTATAATTTCTTTAGAATATTGTTAAAAACAAAATGAAACAATAGTAGCTTATAATTAGAGATTGTATATAAACATTAATTCTTTATTTGTATTTCAAATCGTCTATTAAGTCTGACATTTGCCAATAAAAAAGAATAATGAAATTGAATTAAATTATATTATTAAAAATATATAATTATTATTAAATAAAAAAAATTTAATGTCATTACAATCCTACATAGGGGTAAGATGATCTATACGTTTATATTTGTTTATGGAGAGACAGAGGGTTGACAACCAAGCCTTAAGCTTTTACCTTAGTAAAGTAGATAATTAATGAATGAGAGAGAGAGAGATGTAGGATTTTCTTAGTGGTGTATGTGTTTGCTATTTTTTATTATATGAAATTATTTGTTGTCATTAATGAAAGGGTAGAACTTTACTATATATGAGTCTTATTAACCCTGAATTTTATCGGGTCAAATAAAATTATTGAATAAAGACTACAAGTAAAAATAGAGCCCCTTTTTTTTAGGTCCCAAGGGAGAGGTTTGAGTGGCTTACCTTCTAAGTCAGTTAGGGGTGACAATCGAGTTGTGTTGTGTCGGATTTGTGTCATGTCGAATATTAGTCGTGTCGAACATTAATCAACTCATACCCAACTCATTTAACTATTCGTGTCGTGTCGAGTTGACCTGTTTATTTTCGTGTCATGTTCGTGTTCATATTCGTGTTGACCTATATAAACTTTAAATAAAAAATTTAACGCTAATATTTTATTTTCACTTAATTGAATCTCTCCTCATACTTTGTCTACAAACTAAAAATTAACTTAATAATAATAATAACAACAATAATGAGTAATAATATCTTTTTTATACAATAATTATATCAGTGCATGATAAACAGTTATAAATAATTAATATTTTATTTATATAATACTAATTAAATATGTTAATCGTACATCATACAACCAAATTAAACATCAGAAGTAATAGAAAAAATAAGTCATCAAACACATGAAAACTCATACATGTAACGAAAAAGTCAGGTCAATCTCCTTCGAATTAAAAACTTTGTGTTGATGGGTCAATTCGTGTTAAACGGGTTGAACCCGAACACAACTCATTAACACTTCGTATTAGTAGGTCGTGTCATACGCGGGTCGTGTAAAAAAATTAATCAATTCAAACTCATTTATTCGTATCGTGTTTCGTATGTCGTATTAAAAATTGTCACCCTAAAGTCAGCATCTTAAGGTTTCTATTGATATTTTTTTATATACATGGATGTGCTTAGGCTACTCACCAAGAATAAATAATTAATTCATTGTAGGTAATTTTGTAATTAAATTAAAATATAGAAAAAATCAATGTTATACACCAAATTATTTGGTAAGCTTATCCGTCCACATCTATTCCTTTTTGTCATTAACTGCCCATTCCATCAGTGTCTCACCCACAACACCTATTCCCTCTTTCCTCTCTCAAAATAATTATTGAACAATCAAAGACCACTGTTATGTTAAAGTATTATCAAAATAAAAAATAAAAAATTGGGTAGTTATTTTTTTTTAAAAAAAAAATTGTGATTTTTGGGAAAATTAAAAATGTGTGAAGTAAAAATGACACGAAAGACTATTAATTCAAAATTAATGACTTTTAACTAAAGATACTAATCTAAATAGTTATATTTTTTTTATAAAAATCACTATTAATATTTTTTAGTTAAAAACACCGTTACAAATTGTCACAATTTTTTATAAAATCACATTTGATATCTCTTGAACTAAAAGATACAATTTCAAATGGTTGTACAGTTTCATAAAGTCGTCATTGATAGCCTTTGAACTAAAAGACACCATTACGTATAGTTACACTATTTATGAAAAATTACTAATGAGTCTATAATAAGTGATATCTTGCACTCCTAAAAGCATATTATTGAACAATTTTTTTATTTCTTACTAGAATTGTTCTTTCATTCTATTTCTCTCTATTATCCCAAATTCAAATACATCTATTCTTTCTTTTATATTATATTTAATATTCTATTTTCTGCAAAGTTATAATACTGAAAATTGGTTATTTGATTTCCTTAAGATATTTGAGTAATGTGATTGTAGTGAGGAATATGGGAAACATGATATTTATGAAATCTTCATTAGTCAATCTGATTATCATTTATCTGAATTATTTTATATATTTTTATATAAATATTAAAAAAATTAAATAATTATTTAAATAAATTTAGGTATAATTTATAAAATTTTAGTTAATTAATTTATTCATATTAGATCTAATCTTGAATTGTTAACGGATTCGAATGTTAACCGTAGAAATAAAATTTGTCAAATTATTAAATTCGAATTCGGATCAGTCACAATCTGATCTATACTTGATTAGTTGACGGGATTAATTGTAATTTGACCTTCTTTAGGGTGCCGGAGGTATTAGAACCCCCACGTGTCAGCTGAAGGAGCCGAAAGATCTACGGAGACTCCGTCAGACCCCGTGTAACTTTGCATTTTCCCTTCCCTGAACCAAACCCTGCCGCCGCGAATTGGATAGCCGATTCAACTTAGCGCCGTTTGGGAATCTGTGTATCCATCGTAAGATCGTCTAAATCCTTACTTATTTAGCTGCTTTTCGGCTATTCAGTTTCTCAATTTCAGTTCTAAATCGAGTTTCTTTGCTATGTCTTTGATTTAGGTTTCACTGTACATACATACCTATTTGTTCAATTGTCTATTTATGAATGTGTGATGGCAAACCCTTATTTAATTTCTGTTTGGTTGCCGAGAAAGATTAAAGAAACCACCAATTACCTCAAAATTAGTTTATTAGACTGTGGAGCAAGCGGAAAAAAAAAATGAAGAAAGAGAAAAAGGAAAAATAATATACCCATCAGAAGAAGTTGAAATTTTTGGCTTTAGCTTTACACAATCCAATCAAAGATTCAATTTATTTTTTTGTAAAACCTCTCTCTCTCTCTCTCTCTCTCTCTCTCTCTCTCTGCATGTGTGTGTGTAATTCTTGTGTATTACGTGAAAGTTGATTGATAGAAGTGGGGCTTATGGTATGTTTGGTTGGGTGGATGAAAAAATGGGAGGATGAAAAGTGAGGGGGATACACTTTCCATCTTTTCAGAGGAATCATTTTTTCCTTTCTTTGTATTGGCAGGAGGGATAAAAAGTAGGAGTGATTGATTTTTGTATGTTTGGTTGGATGAAAAAGTGAAAAGATGGAAAAAATTTAGATACATCTTTTTCCATTGTATTTGTATCTAATATTAATATACACACATAATTAATTTTTCATCACTTTTCTCCCAATTTTGGAGAAATTGATTTTGTTAAGTCTAAAAAAAAGCTAATTCATCCATTTTTGTTTTCCTTCCTTACTAAACATAATGTTTTATCTATCTTTCTAACTTTTCATCTTTTCATTTTCATCATGCCAAACAAAGCATTAATGTTTTAATTTGCTTCAGAAATTGTGCTGGAGTCCTTGCATTGACATTTATTTCCAAGTAAAAAGGTAATATAGTAAGACCTTAGGCACAGACACAGACCAATGGTAGGGTGCGGGTTCGAGACTCATTACCTCTTACCACATAAACTTGTTTTTAGATGTCCATAAAATAAAAAATAAAAAAAGAAAAAGAAAAAGAAAAAGAAAAAAAGAAAGAGGTGGTACAATAATTCCTAAATATATCCAAACATTTCCAGCATATTAGCTATAATTGATTACACATTAAATTGAAATGAAGTGGGAGGGAGACACTTGGGGTGATGGATAACCAAGTAAAAGGTCATCTGAGGTAAAAAGCATGCATGCAATTCGTTCCATTGATTTGCAATGGATATTCCCACCTAATAAATTTGTGGGATTCTTTGAAGTTAAGAAGAAAAAGATGTTATGTTGTAGGAAGAGAAGACCATTAGCTGAATAATTTCTAGTGCTTAAATTTGTTTCATATCAGATTAGTGTAACTGGACGCCAATCATTGTGTATGCAAACACACACACACACACCCAATATGCGTATATATGCATGTGTCATTATAAGAAAGAAAAAGACAAATCAAAAAGATTAAATATATACTCATTGATACAAATTTGAATTTATTTCGGTTGTCATTTTGAGTCATTATTTTCTAAAATTCTGAAACGAGTATAACTCCTGGTGACTTGGATAATTTTTTTTATATATGAGATTAGTGCTAACGACTCATTTTACTGATTTTGTCATCTATCACTTATTGATTTGGAAAGACAGTCAAGTTGGTGACAAATTTGTTTTCATTCAATTGCATCTAAACTGACTGTGATCGATGAATAACTTTTGTCCACATAACAACCAGTCAGTTCCGATTACCAGTATTTTTTTATTCTTTTACTGCACACTTGCAATGGTGACATACTCCTCTTGATTCCTTATTGATGGTGTTTACTGAAAAACAATGACCATCCTGCCTTAGTTAGAAATTCTTTTATTTATGCGGTAAGTTTTGGCCAAAGTTGTGGTATTTCTTTCTGAATATGTGAAAGCAGCATACACTGGGTTCGTTGATGCTTTGTATTTGGTCAAAAAATCAGACTGTTGGTTTATGTCTTGCCCTTTGGTCCAGACAACTGTCTATGTTCAATGTACCATTTTTCATTTATTTCTGATGAATTTTTATATATTGTCCCAGGTTGAATTGAATTGTTAAGTAGACGGTTTTTGGCAACAGACAATCATATTATTTCTAAAATCGATTCAGCATGGCAAGGAGTAAGGACTGTAACACCATACTTAAATCTTTAGCATAGTGTCCATCCGGTGCACTCTGGGAAGTGGAGAAGGTTTATTTTTTATACTCATGATCTCTGATTCATTTCTAGAAGCCACATGGTTTTGGCTCGTACTTGCTACTTTACTGGCCGACCATTAGAGCTTGAGTTCATTATTGCTGTTGTAGTTTGGTTATCTTTTGAAATGCTATTAGTAGCTTAATTTGTAAAGTGGTCTCAAACGTTTTTTGGTCATTCTTCCTGTCTTCTCGATTAGTTATTGCTCCTTTTCATAAACTGTGCGACTCTGGGTTGTGCTGGCACCTGTCAATAATTGACTTTGATGTTTGCAATGAGCAATGACAGATGTCCCTCCTCCTCGTCACTAAGTTTGTGGAATCTATCGTTAGCGTTGCAAGGTTCTTCCCATTTACTTGCCTGTAGTGGATCACTGTTAACTCTTTTCTAATCCCATCCTCTACTTGTCTAATATATCAAATTCGTCCAAACATCCTTGCTTTTGCCTCAGCACACCTCTGAGTTCACTTACTCATTTTTCTCCCCACTTTTCTCTTATATTTTTCCTTAGCTAATAATGGATCTTCTTACATTTTAGATCATGTGTATACATAACATTCATCAAGATTTATTTATTCGTTCCAATTACCAGGGACGAAGTCACCATTTTCGAATTTCTTTAAAGGAAGTTCAACATCAACCCTAAGGTTTATCAGTGGAAACGTGGATTTGATATTGTTGATGGTCATTAATTCAATTATCCTACACAACTTTAAATTCATATGGCATAAAGACAAACATGTAGAAATTGTCAAAGTCATCTTTTCCCAGATGATCAAAGTAATTTCTTAAATAAACTTCAGGGATTTTACACCTGTTGAGGATATTTATTCTGAAGCACTTTTTTGGAACTGGTGGTTGGTACGTGAGAATTGTGAGCAATCCCCTCGTCCCAAAAAAAAAAAAAAATTTCCACTGCAATTCCTAGACATGCCACTAGCTGGAAGGATGCCTCAACAAAAGGTTTATGTAGGCTTTAGGGGCGTTAAGGGTCTAGATGTGCTGGTCCATAATCTAAAGTGAACTACTTTAAAAGTTTTCAATAGTGGTTATCTGGGAGATCGTCTGACTCTTTTTAGATTCTTTTGTAGGTTTTAGGAAACTTATTTCTTTCTGGAAGGGGTTAAGTTTCTATTTGCTCCTGTGTAAGGGAGTTCATTGGGGTTGCTGCCTCTATTGCAATTTTAGTATGTTGTACTATACCTAAAACAAATGGGGCTGCAATAAGGTGTGCACAACTCAATCTTTGGTTTTAAGTCCTATCTCCTTACAACTAAGTTGTATTCTCCCATGGAAGACCTATTATCTTGCTGGATATCACAAAATGTGCTTTTTAGAAGCGTTTTCAGGTCAATTACAATTTGCATAGTTGTTTTTATTATTGATTTACTATTTTTAGTTGAACATACTTATTACGAAGTTTATTATCTGATCTTAAATTAGAAAATATTTTATGCTGATAAAGAAACATAATGTGTTGTATGATTTGCCAGGGGTTTTTTTTTTTTTGGTATGTTGAGACAGGAGTTGGAGATTTTCCTTTTTGGTATGAGCCAGTAGCTGTGATCTTGCTAAAGTGCTTACAGATATCCAAAGTTGTGAAGTTGCAGTCTGATTTGATGATTGATGGACATCCCTAAGCCTTTGAAGTTTTCTACTGGGTTGTAATTTGATAAAGAATCTGGAGAAGGTGATTCCCTTAGCAACAATAATATGATCTTTGATTGAATGGTTCATTTGGATATACATTACTACTCTCCTACTCTAATGCATCTTTTTTGTAGTTTCCTATGGTTGGTTGAAAATTTTTATGGTACCTATACATAATGTTCCTCAAAATGAAGTCATTGTCAGACGTGTAGTATGGACTTCTTGTCTTTAGTCATTGTAATTTCTTTCTTACAAAGATTACGAGCCTGTCCTTAAATGCAATATTCACAAAGAAAGAGCTCTTCTTAAATAAATGATGACCATGAAAGTAATTGCATTGAATTATTTGCATTTGTGAATTCTTTTATATATGAACATATGGATAAGCAAAATTTGTCATTTACATAAAAAAACTCAGATTGTACTTCTTGTGTGTGTGACATCATAGACCAATAAATGAAAAAATGGAAAATAGCTACCTACTAAACAGGATGGTGTTAATCGACTCGTTAATCTACTCCATTTGAATAAAACATTCTAGAGAGTCCGCTACTGCTTTCCTGTGACTAAAATGGTTTGATCAGAACTTATGTTCGGTGCCACAGTCATTAGAAAGTTCTCCCTTGGCATCCCTGAATTTACAATCAGGTGATTTTGCTAACCATTGAGTTGTCATGTGTATCTACGACTTCACATCATGGCATTTTTAACCCTTAAGCTGCTAGATTGAATTGCTTCAGTTTATCATCTTCTCATACATAAAGACGATGGAAACCTGATTTAATGAGGTCACTTCATGGGTTATGTTTAGTGCGACGCTGTGTAAGTTGGGTATGTAATACGTGAATTTTTGCTTGTAGATGACAGTTCAGCAGTGAGCATCATTATCGTACTCAAATACTGCCTTAACCTCTAGTGCTCAACTATTCTCTTTTTACTCTTCATGGAATGTCTCTATCTTGTTTCTTAGATTTTGGTAGTTGCTGGAAGGATGGATAGATTCTATACTAGTTGAAGATATGCTTAGGCATTGGGGTTATTACTTGATATGATAGCAGGGAGATTTTCTTTCCCTTTTGAAAATCTTCAGCATGCGAGGATTCCAAGGGTTATGGACTTCCTCCCCCCCCTTTTTTTGTCTGGGACATTAATCTGGCCTGCCCCAACCCGACGGGGTTAACCGGCAAATCGGAGCCTAACAAGCCGGTTATCATATGAGATCGTTTGAGCAAAGAAACAGGATAAAACTCACTAAACTGGGCGGTTCTTCCCTAACCCACTGAACCGAGCTATTTTGATAAACTGGGCAGATTAATAATTAAAATGATATAAAACCTGGCTTTTGGTCATTTTTTGCCCTAATTTGATCTTTGTCGCTCGGAGCCTCTGCCTCGCATTCTCGTCTCTGCCTCTCGTTGGAGTCTTTGAGGTTCAAAACTCTCAGCCTCTCACTCCAGTTCAGTCATCTCTCTCTCTCTGCATTGTGGCTCACTCACTCGAAGTGTCGAACTCGAAGGCAGGACAGGACTCACCCAGCTCTTCAATGGCGATTTGCTTCACCCCATCCTTCTCCACACATTTCATTCTCTAAGACACAACAGCAGGTACCGTCTCGCACAATTGAAGTGTTGAACTTGATTAGTTGAACAAACTACCAACTTACAAAGGCAAGACAAGACTCACCATTTGCTTCACACCCTCCTTCTCCTTCGTGGCCTTTTCTTGAGAGTTCAAAGTCTTGAGATATGGCAGGTACTCTCTCTCTGTGCTATTTATATCTAATATGATTTGTATGAATTTTTATGAAGTTGATTTCAATAACTATGCAATTAATAGTATATTATTTGATTTGATTAACAATTGAGCATATTAGGCAAATTATATTGGAAATTGAATGTATTGGTTTGATTTTTTTGGGTTTTTGTTTGATTTAATATACATTAAACATGTTATTTTCATAATTATTGTAATTTTTTAGTCTATTTATCATTATTAATATTTTTTTTTATTATGTTAATGGTCTGACCAATGGCGCAATGGTTAAACAAGTGACCCATTGACCGGTTCTTTCCCCAGGTTGATGTTTGGGTCATGTTTTAAAACTATGGGAGATACAAAGGGTGGGTCTTGACATAACGGTAAGGTTGCTCTATCGTGACCTAGATGTCAAGGATTCAAGTCACAGAAACAATCTCTCCGCATGTGGAGGTAAGGTGGCGTATATCTGACTCTCCCTAGATCTTGAAATGGCGGGAGCTTCGCACATTGGGTCACCTCTTTTTGTGAATCATTTAGGGACTGGTCAAGTCAGATCTTTTGGCAAGCAATGCTTCTGGGAGCTTGTGTGGACATGTATGGGGTTAATTTAGCTATTTATATGCATCCTTTTTTGGTTTCATGCTTCTGGCAGAGTAGACCTCCATCTCTTTGTTTGTTAACAGATTAACATTTCTATATGGGCACTTAGATGGGTAATTACCAAAATGCATGATCAGTAGTATTACCAGTTGTAGCATATGAGCTTAAGCTGACCTTGCCTGAGATGAAGCTACATCAGAATAGTATTTGCTTTCTAAAAAATTCATTGGTCTTGGAGTCCGTATGGTTCATCTATGTTTATGATGCTGGTTTGACAAAAAGGCCATTCATTACTCAGTGTATTGGCCTAACCTCTAGCATTATTTGTTGGAAGTAACTGAACCCCAACCTCATGATATTTGGCCTAACACTTCTACCAATGCACTAGACCATCCTAAAAGGCAATGCTGGTTTGAACAATATAATATGATATAATGTGGACAGAATCTTTGGTGAGTAGAATACTTGACTGCCTTTGCTCTCGTAACTCCATAAAATTTGACACGATAACATTCTCTCTCTTTCTCTTCCCCCCCCCCCCTCCTATGCTGAAGTTTGAACTCAAGGGTTATCATATTACTATGGTGGTGCACAAACAAAATATTCTCACAATACCTCTTTCAGTTTTAGAATTTCAGGAAAGAGAAAAAATTAGCTTTTTTGGATCGTTTTAAATTTTATGCCATGGCTAGTGGAATGAGATATGGAGAAAAATATTTTTGAAGATTGTTTCAATAATAAATATGACAATTAGACTGTGTGCCTGTTTTTGAATCGTTATAGAGTTATCACAGAGATGAGGCTTAGATTGGCCCAGTCATGATGCTACCGCTCTGCAATAGGCTATTGGTTAGTGGATAACTATGATTTTTCCTTCTATGTTTTGTTTCCTAAAGTGTTGTCTAGTTTAGTGGTCAAATAGAATCACTTAGAGTTGGTGATGGGGGGCAATGATTTCATCATAATTTGTTATTGAAGAATTTTTTTCTTGTGTCTTTTGCAATTTGGTTTAATTTTTTCTCCATTCCATGATTTTGCCTCTCTTCTGGCTGTCGCAAAACGTCCATCCCTTGTGGAAAGTGAGAGGGTGAAATGGATGCACTTTTCCACATTGCTTCTTTCCTTTCCCTATTTCATACATTTTTATTTTTTAACCCAAAACACCGAGGGAAATTTTGGAAAAATATTTTCTAGCAAAAAATTGAGCTTTTTCAGATTGGACACATATAAGGTAACTAGTTATTACCCGTGTCTGAAGGCACAGAGTAATAAAAAATGGTAAACAATAAATATATTTGTATTCATATCTAAAATTAAATCACAAATATAGAGAAGAAATAAAAGAATTTAGTAGTGGGGGTGAGAAATAGTGGGTGGTAGTGGTGGTGGTAGGAAACAGTAATAGTTGTGGTGGCGGTGGCGGTGGTGGTAGTGACAACGACGGTGACGGTGGTGGCGGTGGTAGAGGTAGCGGTTCAAAATAATTTTTTTTTTTAAAGTATTTATGAGAAATAATTCCTAAAAACACTTTTAACAAATTACTCCAAACACATCTTTAGGGACTTATTTTTTCTTATTAAATTTGGAGTTTTAATATTAGCCGTTAGGTTAACTTTAAAGTAAAATTTAAAGCGATCTCAATCGCAAATAGCAAAAGTCATTTTGTTTATCTTTTGAGATTTGAATTGTAAGCTACTTTATTATATAGATAGATGGAATTAAATAAGGTAATAGATGGAATTAAAATGATCTGGTAAAAGTTAAGAGGGTGAAGGAGGGGACTGTCCATAGATCTAGGTGTGCCATCTTAAAGTCTGCATGTGTACGTTTATAGACATCGGTTTAACATGCACAGAAAATCTTCCATCTTTTAGAGACACGAATCTGTTAAACCTTTATTGGCAAATGCCATAGTTTCAACTTTTGTTAGTGCAGATATAGGCTTAAGTGTGACATAAATCATAGTAGACTAACTGGTATTTCATTTCTACAGGACATGTTGCACAGGATGACTGCCACTCGCAGTTGCAGGTGGACAGTACTATCTTTCTCCCCTTAAGGAGGCAACTTCAGAGACTGGGCTTTCGGATTCAGTGGTCAAGCGAGTTTGCAAGTGTCTAGATTGAAGGAGGCAGGCTTACATAGCATCTAGCAAAATATCTACACATTTGCTTTGTCATCTTGTTTGGACATTGGAAATAAATACTCTCCCTTGGGTAAGTGCTTATATATTTCCTTATGTTTGATAAAATGATCCAATAGGTCCATCATTGGATTTGGAAGCTCTATCTGTTGTTGAAAATCCAACTACCTGGCTGTAATTTGGAAGCAATTTCGCATTGGTAGCATATAGTAATTGATTGAGTAGAGCTTATTCTTAAGTGAAAAAATAAGTAATAATTTGTTTGTCTTCTTCACTCTTGATAAGAGATTTTGGTGTTTAGAGAGTACTGGCTTGTTTACTTCCAAATCTTATATTTTATTATGTGATGAACGTAGATTCCATATTTGTTTGCTGAACTAGTTTGAAAGACTAAGGTCCATTTACCTTAGTTTTTTGGGTTGAAACTGCTCATAGTGAAGTGAATAATTTTAAGATATTAAGGTGAAAGGCTCTGAGGAGCTACAGCGCATGCATGTGATGCACTGTATTAGCCTATAAACTTCCCTGCATATATAAAGTCCCTTGTAAAACTCAGTTGTTTGTAACTATGTCAAATTGATTGACAAGTTCAGGAACCTTCAAAGTATAGCCTATTATAATTTGCTACATCAAAAGTTGAACTAGAGTATAAATCACAAAATTTGGGCCAAGGCAAATGTAAAGTAATAGGATTACCTACACAATTTATATGTACCTCTATTATGTTTAATCATTTCTGATGGACCTTTGTGAATATAAGCGTGCACTTTATTTAAACATGTACGCATATTGTTTCTTTACCTCAAATATGTAAAGCATATGTGTGTATTTTGCTTTCAACTTGCCCTCTACTAATCATTTGTCATACGTATTTCAAAACAACAAAGAAATGGTGGGAACTGTTTTGGATCGGTTACTATATCCTTTCTCCTTTTGATAGGATGATTTGCTTGTCCACATTTTTCATTGTGTCCATTTTGTGTTCAAATGTTGTTTCAGATGGAGGTGGTTTGTCTCAACAGTGAGCCAGTGTTTGATGAGGCTGATGAATATGAAGATCAAGGAGGCTGTATGATGGGGGAACATGATGATGAAATTCGTGAAACACAGTCAAAGAAGGAACGCCCACTACCCACTGTGGGTTTGGAGTTTGAGTCTTTTGATGAAACTTATGATTTTTACAATATCTATGCTAAAGAACTAGGATTTGGCATCAGAGTGAGTAATTCATGGTTTAGATCAAAAAGAAAAGAGCGGTACAGAGCAAAACTTAGCTGCAGCAGTGCAGGCTTCAAAAAAAAGAGTGAAGCAAACCATCCGAGACCAGAAACAAGAACTGGCTGTCCTGCAATGATCGTCATTAAGCTCATAGACTCTAAAAGGTGGAGAATAGTTGAAGTCAAGCTTGAACACAATCATCCAGTGAATCCAGAAGTCAAACGATTTTATAAGTCGCATAAGAAAATGATACTAGCTGCCAAAAAAGCCCAGCATACGGAACCTGTTAAGGAAGTTCATACTATTAAGTTATACCAAACATCCATCGTGGATGCTGGATGCAATGGAAACTCAAAAGACGATGAAAGAGATGGTATAAATCCGGTTGATCACTCTAAGCATTTGGAACTTAGAGAAGGGGATGCATATGCAGTCTATAACTACTTCTGTCGCATGAAGTTGACAAATCCAAACTTTTTTTATTTGATGGATCTTGATGATGAAGGACGCTTAAGAAATGTGTTCTGGGCTGATGCTAGGTCCAGGGCTGCATATAATTACTTTTCTGACACAATTGTAATCGACACAAGCAGCTTGGCAAACAAATACGAGATCCCTCTGATTTATTTTGTGGGAGTAAACCACCACGGGCAATCAGTGTTGTTAGGATGTGGCTTCCTTGGACATGAATCAGTTGAATACTTTGTTTGGATGTTTGAGGCATGGCTTGCATGCATGCTAGGACAACATCCAAAAGTCATTGTTACCGATCAGTCCAAGCCCCTGCAAATAGCAGTTTCTAAGGTCTTTCCACAGGCTCGTCATTGTTATTGTTTGTGGCATATAATCCAACGTGTTCCTGAGAAGTTGGGGGGATTGAAGGGATATGAAGCAATCAAAAGGCAGTTGAATAAAGCAGTCTATGATTCGTTGAAGATAGCTGAGTTTGAATCTTCTTGGGCTAACATGATAAATCAGCATGGACTCGTGGATAATAGATGGCTTCAGTCCTTATATGAAGATCGGCAGCAGTGGGTTCCGGTTTATTTAAAAGACATTTCTTTCATGGGAATGATCCCTATAAAAGAAAATGAGGGTTTGAGTGCATTTTTTGATGGTTATGTACATAAACACACATCATTTAAGGAGTTTGTTGATAAGTATGACCTAGCTCTGCAAAGGAAGCACATGAAAGAAGCCTTGGGGGATCTAGAGTCCACAAATTCAAGCTTGGAGTTGAAAACAAAATGTAATTTTGAGTTGCAGCTGTCCAAGGTGTATTCAAAGGAAATATTTAAGAAGTTTCAATCTGAGGTTGAAGGAATGTATTCTTGCTTCAACACAAAGCAAGTGAGTGTCAATGGGCCAATAATAACATACATAGTCAAAGAACGAGTTGAAGTTGGGGGGGGAGAGAAGGAAGTCAGGTATTACGAGGTATTATATGAGACAACTCAAGTGGAAATACGTTGCATTTGCAGTCTGTTCAACTTCAAAGGTTATTTATGCAGGCACGTGTTAAATGTCCTCAATTACAATGGCGTAGAAGAAATACCGTCCCAGTATATTCTACCGCGTTGGAATAAGGATTATAAGCGCAAATTTCTTCCAGACCGTGACCCTAGTGATGTTGATGTAAATAACCCTGTGCAGTGGTATAACAATCTATATAGTCGAGTCACCCAAGTTGTTGAAGAAGGGGCACAATCTCGAGAACATTATGAGGCTGCATTGCAAGGATTAGAGGAGCTATTGAATAAGTTTAGTCTTGTAGACGACGATTTGTTGCAATGGTAACTTTTTAAGAATTACAGTCCAGTTCAGCAATGACCATGTATGTATTTTGCTATCTTGATTCCTGTATCTTTACATGCACACAAACAGCAAGTTATTCACCAGCAGTGGCAGAAATTCTTGAACTCAGGAAAATCGTTTCAATCGACTTTCTGAGAAAAGAAGCCCACCAAGTTGGAAAAATTGCTTTGCTGTATCACTGTTTCAAACATTGATGTTAACATTTGTTTTCAATGCATAATAGTTTACACCCATTGCATAAGATTCTCACTTATAACGGGATCCAAGAGTGGGAAAGGGTAGACATCCTCATCGTCATTTTAAAATAGCGATTTCCCTAACTTGAATCAACCATGTAACATTTGAACGTATGAGCACGTTGTTCCAAGCCTGCCTGACAACTAGTTACCTTTTCACTGCATATTCTACCATGTTTATGGTTGCATATTGTCTTCATTTTCTTTACCATTTGATTTTAACCACTTGCTTGAGCATGTAGACAATTTTCTTGGGCTACATTTCCAGTTCAGATTCCCGAGTTGTCTTCACCAGTTGGAAATATATTTGGGATATTACATCTAAAATCTGAAAGAAGAATGAAAACGTCTAAACAATACACTAAATCTGATGAATGAAGTTCAATCTATTTTATCTCGTTTGTGGCTTATTCCGCCTATAATTATCTTGAAGATTCAAACCTCTTTGACGTCAAGGTGCATCGGACAAAAATTCAATTGTCAAATCCCACATCTAGAAGACGTCAGGCTATCAAGTTTCATACCTTTTTTTTTTTTTTTTTCCCTGCCTGACCACCCCGGACGCTTTTTAGATGACCATTTTAAGCACGTTATACCTTTCCATAGAATTGCATGGTCAGATGTAGGCAGCTACGCCCATATGCAAAGTAATTGTTTCTCCAATTTTTTAAATATAAAAAATTATGAATGATAAATAAAACCGAATCAAACTACCAGGCATTGTTAGTGTCCAGGCCCATCCCAAACCTTCTAGGGTTTGGGCAGGGCAGGGTGGCCATAGCCATTTTTTGGCGGGCAGGCTTCGAGCTGCCATGAGGGTATGTCTGAGGATCAATTGGTACCGAGAGAGCGGATCGCTTGTAATTATTTTAAAAAATTAATCTATCTGATGGATGAGTCTTAAAAACTGAAAAGAAAATTTATGGTTCAAATACTTCGTAAAAATAAGAATGAATAATCAAACTGAGTAAATGAATATTTACCTCGGTCAGTAAATGTGTATAATTTAACCCAAACCAATTTCCCGACGGAGTTTTTAGTAACAAAGGCTCCATGAAGATGCTTCAACACAATGATCATAACCTTCTCTTGCCTTCCCCTTTAAACAAAGAAGCTCAAAGGAGTGATCATGCACTATGTCCAAACAAGAGCTATGGAAAGGAGTTGAGAACCCCAAACACACCCAAAATCAGTTCAAATTTCACATTGAAGAGCGTCCGAGACAAAGATCAGATTTCGAAAATGAAACCTTTATAAATATTAAATTTTCAAGCCATTGCATGAAGAAAATACAATCCGAACAAGTTCAAGTTTCTGTTACAACCATTGCCTGCCCACACACATGCACGAAAGTTTTCCACAATAAGAAGCTAAGCCACCTTACCTCAGAAGATTTTTTTTGGAGTCAATTACCTCAGAAGAACTGAGAAAGAACAATCCCATACATCCAAAAAGAAAACCAGGAGGAACAAATAAATCTCCCACGCTGCCAATCCTCACCTCAAACAAGAAGGAAGTGTTATCCCATGGCAAACGAAAGCCAGCACAACATAAACAATAACCAGGAGAAGAAGTATCAATGCAACCCTGCAAAAGGCAAAAAATTATATCACTGGCTTAGCGTCATAACTCGTATGTGCTAGGAAGGTCCTATCTTACCATTTAAATTATGCTAATTGTTTTGAAGCATGACTAATTAAAGGCTTTAAAGCTATTTTGGAAAAGAGAAGTAACAAGGAGAAGATGATTTCGAGAGACAGAAATGCAAATGCTTAATGGAAGAATTATGCTGTGAGACTCTGTCAATCTCTTTGGATATTTGAGAGATTAAAATATTGGGAAAAAAATCAGGTTGTTCAGCAAGATGATGTATCTAGAACAATTTTTGAAAATGTAAAGCATAATCTGAGCAATAATAGCGAATATTTAGGAATTTAAGGCACTATATATTGGATAATATGCTCAATGACACATCTGATCTTTCAGCAGTAGTTCAATTCAATTAAAAAAATTGAATGTGCCTGCCATCTTTACATAGAAAAAGATTGCATATAAACCTTGTAGTTCAATCATGAATTAAGCCAATTACTTGTTACCATTTACATAACAAAGATGGTATATGATTTCCTAAACAGTGTGTGACATATTGCATGTAGAATGGTGAGTCAAAAAATGATGATGATGGGCCTGAGTAACATCAAGGGAGTAACTTAGCGAAAAAAAAAATCAAGGGAGTACTTTCCCAAAAAGGCCATCTAGGGCAGCTTTAATGAAGCTAAATGGTAATTTCGTTTATTTATTTACATACTATTATTGGTTTTTGACATAATGGATTTCATACCCACTTGCATTCTCGACTCACGCCCTGTTACGCACTTTCAGGAGTACAACTCCAGCATCAATATTCTGCCTCCGGATTATTACCTCCTTAGAAATTCTCAAAGCCCAGTTAAATTTTCTCCCTTGTTGAGTTGTATTCAGCTATCATCATACAGAAAGTGGCTTAACCACGTAGGCCTAACAATTAGTAAATATACTTTCAGTTCTTTCAACACCCAATTTTAAGTTGTCCCAGTACTAATCTTTTCCCCCCCAAACCAAAACCAAATAAGTTTGATGGAGAGCTAAAAAATCGTTATTTTTTTTTCATTCAGGTCTTCCAGCAAATAAATAACCAACAGAAATCTAAATGGTCATTTCAAGGTGCCTCCATTACCCCAACATTCAACCTCCAACTCAAAAAAAAAACACCTCTCAGAAGCTATTGAATGGTTAGGAAGACACATCCACTCTGGAATCCAAAGCTATGAATGCTAGCCCGTTGAAAATCAAGTTTCTTTCTCCAAAAATTTCATTTGTGGTAGTCATCAGACTTCTTACTATGTTTCCTGTGAAGTAAGTATGCTGCTAGTTAGATGTATTTATATTCCATTTAGTTTTCGCCAATTTTTAGATTTTCTGGATAGACCGTAATTATGAGTGATGGATTACAAAACAAATCATGTTACTTTACTTTAATCAAGTTCTCAAACTTGGAGTCTGACTTTCAAAAATAAACTTCCAAAATTTGGAGCCATAGCCATTTTGGTGAAAGTCTCTTAGCTGATAAATATACGTTCTCTTCAATTTAATAAGGTTAATTTGTAAGAATGGAATTTTGCCCAACAGTTACAAATGTTGGTTGAGATTCCTTTTTTCTTCTTTCTCTTCCTATTCCCCTTTCTTCTTCTAATTTTCTGCACTTTATATAGCATGCGATCGGACGTGGTTTTACAACTTAAAAAATTGCCTCTAAAGTCCAATCCTCTATCTATCAAACCGTAAACCCTGGCAACCCAGAAAACCCAAAGAATCCCCAAAGTTATTCCTTACTTGTTACTCTTCAGAACAAATAAACAGCCCTTAAAACCTTGTTTTAACTTTTAACTCCCAAAAAAATACCTTACCTAAGCAAGCACTATCCAGCCCCATCCAATTCTGTTGTTTTAGGCCTCCAAATTAGCACTTCCTAACCAAAATAATTTGGTGTCCAGAACACCAGAAGCCCCATTTTCCACTGCCGAGCATCAATTTTTGACAACTTGTAGGAGAGACTGAGAGTGCTTCCCACAACTGTCCTTTACTATTGGATAGGACAATTATGCCCTTAGAAGATGAAAACCATCCACCTATCTCTTCTAAATGCAAATGCACAAAGCAGGTCAATCATTGAAAAAGATTTAGCTTAGATAACATACGTGAGCTTGACATTTCTCCACCATACAGTGTTCCTGAAACGCCGAGCCTGCTTTCTGAAGCGAAAAGTATTTCCTTGCATATTGGCAGTTTTGTCAACCAGCAACTCCAAACGATCACCTCTGTCTAGAACTTTATCAATATTCTCTATCATGACATTGCGTACCTGTTAAATGAAATAATCACATGCAAACTTTTGTATTATATAGAATAAACCCAAGAGAATATCAACTGCAAATTTGTGCAGTAATATGGACAGATACAATAGAAGCATGAAGAATTTTTGACATGCTGCAACTCAATGACACTAATTCATAGGGGATTAACACTTCATGTTTTTATCTAAGCTAAAAGATTCTCATCCTAAAATAATCAGAGTCAAATTAACCACCATAAATGATCAAACACAAGCATTCACTAAGTAAAACCATCAGGACAACACGAGAGAGGTCAAAGGATTTTGTAGAGAGCTATAATGGACAGAAAAAGCAGAGGAACAAGACTTCAAAAAAATCCAAAGTGACACTCATTATAAGCAGTTCCTAATTGATATAAACACTTAATACGCACCTGACTCATTTCACCTTTTAATCTGTTAATCCTATCTGCATTTGGATCATTTGAGTAATACTCGATCTGTTGGCTCAGAACCCTTGAAAATTCATCATTCATGGCATATGCCTGGGCTGATAGAACTGCCCGACCATAAGTCCTCACAAATCTCTGATGAATGTCTTCAAGAAATGCAAAAGGAATTCTTCCTGCACAAAGAATTCAGAATAAAGTTAAGACAATAACATAAATCCCTATCTAGAAGCAGCAGTCGGACAAATACTCAAAAGGCATGATGTTAGCTAATATCAATCGTGCAAATAAACTGAGAAGCACAAACACTTCCGTGAAACTGTCATGCATGCGTTGGGTAAGTGTCGGTATGTCCGTGTCAAACAGTGTTTGGCGCCAACAGTCTCGTACACTCCTTTTTTTCTTTTAACCCATGCTAGCGATACTTCTCAGACACTCCTCAACACATGTTGGATACCTTTTTAATTTGTGCCAAACTAAGAAATAACACTAATTATTTGAAATGTGTACTTATAGGACACTTCACACTTGATGGCATTCAATTACAAAACAGGAAGAGATGATTATGGCGAATAATCAACTTAGAGCATGCTATTACTATATTCAAAAGCAAAGCTAGGGCATCTTGGTATAACAGGGGTATGGGAAGATGGGTGAAATCATTGTAGACCTGTATACATGCTATGTTTCATCTATCTGACAAGGGTGATTGTGGACATCTTGGTTCATGAGTAGAAAGATTCTTATATTGCACCAAAACCACCACCACAACCAACTGCTAAACAGCCTGAACCCACCATGGACAAATCTGGCCAAAACCACCATTGTCACTGCCTTTGCTTGCAACCCCCAACCACCACCCTACCCCACCCTAGCAAACCCAATCCCAGTGGCAGAACCACTACCTGATAGAGAATCCCTACGCTGCAACTCCCTCCCTAACTCATAGCCAAAAAACCCACCCCACTTGTGGGCTGAAATCCCTACCCTCCCCTCGTCGCCAATGCCAAACTGCTGAGATTGCAACAATAGAGAAACTTCGGCAGTTGAGTTTAAATTGGGAAGCTAAGACATAATGATGGCGGAGCAAGGGAACATAATGTACCACTATAGCTGCTACTAGGTTACCTTCTCCGTTTGCAGGCCTTCTTCCTACATACAATTTGGAAGGATATTTTCCTAGTCCCTCCAATCATTTTCAAGTCAACCATGTATCCCATCGGGGGCTCACTGGTGTAGAAACAAAGAGGGGATTTTTTTTTCATTTCAAAAAATTGGCAGGTATTTTTGTTTGTATGATTTTTTTGTTCAACTAGAGTGCAAATAATCAGAAATTAATGTCAATTTGGTTGTGATTTGTAATGGCAGCACATTATACCCAAATCATATGAATGATATGGAGTATATTGAAACAATGGAAGATAAAGTACTAAAGTGTCAAACCTCAAGGGAGAAAATTGGAATTTGCACTAATAATTCTAACACTTTTCAATAACCTACATGTTTCCAAGTTTTTATTCATTAGTTTGTGTAGTACCCGATAAATTCAGGACACGTGTCTAACCCATAACATGGAAGTGAGGCCGAACTGGGTTTAGTTGGACTGGTATGGATAACAATACCTAGTGCGATGCCCCCCAAGTGTGACGCCCCCGGGTGCAACGTCCCAAGTGCGACGCCGCAAAAGGTAGAAACGCATCCTCATTGCATTGGAAGTGGCAAAATAGACCCTTCACCAAGGGTGGACAAGAGTAGAACTGCAGAAGTCTAAGAGCAACCTCGACGAGACTGACCTCTCCCACTGCAGGAGTAGTATCCTCAACGTACTAGACACCGTTGCTTGACTGGCCTATTGGACTAAGAGGAGAGGTCCCCACCTAGGAACAGGACAATATGGCCCTCCTTAAGGAAGAACTGGGCAACGGGGACGGACGAGCATAACTGTCAACCTCAGCCAGGGGCAAGGTCTCAAAGGTTTAATCTACTCGAGTACGCCTCCTAATGAGCCATACACTGCCCACTAGAATGTGCTTGACTAGGATCCAAATGGACTCCTAAGGTAACTAGGATTATTTGTCCGGATCAACATATGGGATATGAGTCATGTAGATTGATAGCTGAAGGACCAAAACTTACTAGTGGGCATGACTAGGATCCAAATGGACTCCTAAGGTAACTAGGATTATTTGTCCGGATCAACATATGGGATATGAGTCATGTAGATTGGTAGCTAAAGGACCAAAACTATGTAAGTTTCCTTAATTAAGCACATCAACAAAGGTCTCAAGAAAGGGTCTAGAGAAAAAAAAAAAAAAAAGAACCCCGGGTAGAAGCGTGCTCAGGGCATCGCAGACATGGCCCTCTTGAGGTTATGATCTCGCGGTAACTAGTTGTGGTCATTAACCTTAGGAGCCACCTTTCACTTCGGCAGTCGCACCCTCCTCTAAGTCACATCCAAACTACATTTGGGAAAACATCACAACTGTATAGTTAATATTGGGACATGTGGCTCATGGTTAACATTTAACAATAACTAGTATCATTGTAGTTGAGGCAGTTATTGGTAGGTGCAAGTGTTAGAAGGTCGCGGTGGGTAGCCTTTCAAGCAGCCCAACCAACCTAGGGACTGTGCTATAAATACCCACATTAATTACCTACTAGAAGATGAGATTTTGTACTTGGCTGGTAAGAACATTTACTCCACCTACCTTCTGCCCAACTGGTTGTTCCATTTATTAACAGGCTGCTCGAGTTCCTTTCATTCTATCCGCGTATCCTACTCATCCCTTCGATTACCCTTGCCATAGATATGTGTGTTAGCCTTTTTAATTTCACTCCTACAGTTTGGTTATGATTTCATTTGGAAACTGCTAGTTGATTGGAAGCTGAAATTAGTTAGCTATAGAGAAAAATAAACTTACTTCGCTAAGTTATCCAAACATATCGTACCAAATTTTCCAATACCACAATCCAACTTACAACGGTGGAATGCAGACAACCGCACTCTAATTGAGCTCCATTTCAAATCAAACAAAATTGGAGGAGAAAATGCAAACCTTGGCATTGTATTTTTTCCAAGCAGACAAAACTAACACTGGAATTGTCTTCATAAATTCTGGTCCTATACTCAAATAGGTGGATCAATATTGCAATCAATAACCCAACAATGCGTCCAATTAACATATTTCGCGCGAGACATAAAACTAGACTTCATATCTTCAGAAACTCGTATTCAATTATCAAGGAAATACAATCCAGGTAAACACAGAACAACAATGAATAATTCAAAAAAGAAGTGTGATCAAACTGAGCTTACTTCCGGCGGTATCGTCGGCCATGCAGAGAACGGTGAGACCATCTGTGCGTTTCACGTGAAAGATGTACCGATCTTGGGAGTACGACACATTGGAGTCGTTGTTTCCAGGGATTTTCTCCAGAATTTGCCTAGCGATCGTGCTCGCATTCGTCGACGTCGCACTGAACTCCGCTAAGACCACCGATCCTCTCGCCACCAACGAATACAAAATCGCCATCTCTCCCCAACTCTCTCTCTCTCTCTCTCTCTCTCTCGCTTATATACAGATCACAGCTCGCTCCCTGTATATATATGAATTGATATTTGTATTTCTCTCTCTAGAGCTAGGGTTTTTTGAATTGACGGAATTTACCACAGAAATTTGAATGAATGATTACAGTAAATTGTGCAGGTAAAAGAAGAGATTTATGAGTAAATCATGGGCAAATCCAGAGAAAAAAAAAGGTGGTGGGGACGATTGTGATTGTGAACGATGATGAGTGCATGAAAGCTGGATTGACCTGCCCTTCTGTTTGTTAATGCTTGGACTGATGATGGAGAAAAGCTATGGTGTTTTCGGGGATCTGGAAGATACAATCTTATACATATGGTTTCCATTAATCGAGGACTTATGACCGTTGGTCAAATGCCAACTATGACTCTCATTTTCTTTTCTTCTTTTACTTTCAAATTATGATATTAAAAAAATAATTTTAATATAGGAAAATTAGGGTATTGAATATCCAATCTTAAAATATTATAATCAATCGTGATAACTATAATTTTTAAAAATAAGTTATAATTTTTAAATGGTAAGTTACATATTTTAAAGGTAAAATTATAACTTATTAGAATTTATTCATGATCAATCATTAATTATTTTAAGAAATTATAATTTTACATTTAAAAAATGTAATGTAATGTAATTTTAAAAATAATAATTTTTAATATATTACTTTTTTTTTTGTTGGTAATATAGACCCTTATTATTTTTTTTTTTTAAATATTTTTGTACAATACCGAGATGGCACCATGGTGTTATTCAAATATAATAAGTCCTCTTTCCTACCAAAAAAACAATTTAATTTGTCATTTTTTTTAATTCCAACAAAGAGGTATTATCTTTAATAAATTATTTCAAATTGGTTCAAAATTCAGCATAGTAAACTTCATGTTAATTTAACCCTTTTCTCATGAACATCAAATCAAATACACTTTTATTCTATTTTTTAATCAATTGTGGTATAAAATACTTATGGTTTATTACATATTAGACCAAATTAAATTATTTTAATGCATTCACATACGAGATTTAAGCAGAGAGAAAGAGGGGGTAGATTAATATACGAAAAAAATCCCATTAGGGTGATCAAGTAAAACACCATCTTTACCACTCTTCTTTGATTTTTTGCGTACATCGAAAGGAGCTCTAAGTCAACTAGGAAAGTAACTAAAATTATTAATTTTGGCTACTTTATTTGCAACCACTTTTACTTCCAAGAGGTTTCATAGATTAAGCAAAAATAAATAAATAAATAAATATACTCTGATGGTGTGTCGCGCACACTTAACTATTTATGGATTTGGTGATCATTGAACTATTCAATTACAACTTCTAAATTCTTGGGGGTTGAGTTATTGATTTAATCACCGACGGACTTTTGATCCAATGGTACTTCTTACCTTGTGAAGAATTTGTCTTCTTAAGGTCAAGAGTTCATGTGTACCCTCCCCCTCTTTCTCCCTCTCCCAAAAAAAAAAGTTATCGATTTAATCAGACATAATTAATAAACAGAGAATTCATAGTGATTCATCAACTCGGAAGTTTGGCTAATCTATTCTAATAGAGTCTCTTACTCCTAAAATTTTTCTATTAATTAGAGGAAATGATATTACACAAAGTAGATTCACATATGATTTCTTGACCCTAAATGCGAGAGACTTGACCCCTATTTATAGTGTACAGTTGTCTTGCGTGATCACCTTATGTGATCTCTATGATTCTTTCTGTAACTAATGTCATCCTAACCTAGTGTAATTAACCTAATTCTTGTTGAAGCGATTGTAAGTGTTGTGACTCATATGCTAGAATATTTGACCGTTACAGATTACATTTTTTAGGCGTGACATGACCTTTGAAAGGTGTCAACCGTCACTGTCATTGCATGCACGAGGGTCTCGTTGTTGAAGGTACCCGACCTGCACACCTCGAGCTAGTGATCATGAGTTACAGGTCCGAGCTTAGATATTTGAACTGAGAGGTCCGAGCTTAACCTTGACTAATTTTTGATATCATCGTACGTTGTTTGAAAAAGTTAAAAGTATGGTTTAGGAATGTTAGCAATAATTCCTGAAGTATTGAAATTTGACAAGTTGGATCAGCAAACTCTTCAAAAAATAATATTAAGATACAATTTGATAACGGTTAGATATCAGGTTGGTTCATGGACCTAAATATTCAATCCAACAAAGATGCCTAAGGGATATGTCTCTTGGAGAAGGTGTGTTTTTACAATTTTTCTAAAAAATGTGTCTGTTAAATCTATATTTATATCTATATCTATAGTACAAATAAAAGTATCTTAGTATAAAAAAATTTAATTCACTATTTTGCCTTATAAAAAACTATAAAGGCTAACATTTCCTTTTGTATTTAAATATTTAAATTACCATTATATCTCTATATATTTAAATAACAAATTAATCCCTAATAAATCATGTAAATCTCTCTAACTTTGTAAAACTTTTGAAAGGGCATGTTATGTTCAACATGATATATATATAAAATATATTAATTTTTTTTCTAAAATCCCAATATTAATATATGTCGATAACTCCAATGATATAATATCATCTCCAATACCCACACACACACACACACACACACACACACACACACACACATATATATATATATATCTTTTCTCTTCATTCACAATTAAAATAATTTAGTAAAAAACTATTGAGGCACAAAGTAAAAACAAGAAAGATAAAAATAAAAAAAAAATCTATTAACTAACTCGAATGAAAAAATCATAAAAAATAAGTCTATTGGATGTTTATAGTTATGAAGTGAATACAAATAATTTAAATATGATAAATATTATTATCTAATTTTGCTACATTATTACATTTTTTTTATTGTTTTATCAAATGTTTCAAAAAAGAATTAACGTGCATTAGTGCAACGCACCTACTGCATTGTTAGTCCTTTAAAAGTAAGTCATTTCAACACACCATTTGTTTGTCAGTACAAACCAAATGTCTTTCATTGCAACACTTGAGAAAATTTTCTTCATGTTAAACCTCTCTTACTCTCATTCTCTCTCTTCCTAGACATAGATACATAATGTCTAAGAAGGTTTACTTGTTCGTACGTACTTGTTATGTATGTTTTTTATCTAAATCAAAAAATGAATAATCAAAAAATCTCTTCCTCTAAATCAAAAAATGAATAATGTATGTTTTTTATGTTCATGTACTATTTTAAGAATCGCTTCTTCTTTTATATTCATTTTTTTAGATTTACTTGTTCGTACGTACTTGTTCCCTTTCTCTAACATTAATCACATACGTAATAATATATATTTGCATGTGGGTCTCATTTTTATACTATAATATTTAGAGACTTCTTATGATTTATTATTAATTTTTTTATTTATTTCCTAAAATAGAAGAAAAGGGGTGGTGGTACATTAGCCCGATTGGACTAAAATTGAGACATTGCTTCTCAAACAGATTTTATGGTGGAGAGATTGAGGAAATGCATTTGAGTAGTTTTAAATTTGCTTATAAATTGGTTCAAACACTAATAATCACAGTGTACCATCCCTAATAATACCACCCCCTCCATGGTGTATTTTATCTTTGCGCATATTACCCTTTTTAGTGGGCACCGATCATACATGAAATATTCGAGAATCAAGTTCACTCCTATTTCATCAATTAATCTTGCTCCCAATGCGTTGTTTTCATCTAAACGATATGAAACCAATAGATGAAGTAATTCAAGTGAGATCTATTATAAATCCAACTTTCGAGTCACTCGTGGGATTCAAACGATCCGAGAATCTTGAGAAAATAATCAAAGTTTGGACTCATAGAATAGAAACCCATCACCATTTCCTATTAGGCAGCTCAATATTAGTCATTTTTCAGTGTTGGAATAATTACAACCACCATCAAAGATGTTGACCAAGCAATTTTTTACTTGATAAATGGCTCATATGGTACTTGAATCAGTGGACAGTGATCAAAACCACAACATGTGAATGAAAGAGTCGACAAAAAAACACAAGACACTGAACCATCGAAAGAAGTAAATATGGGTTTCATCTTTTTCATAATAAGCATATGTTTGATGGAGCTCATAAGCTGACACCCATTGTTATTGTCTTAGATTAAAGGGTTTTTTTTTAGTGTGGGTATATTTTTTTAGACTTATTTAAGAGGAAATATATGAATAAATATTTTATTCTATTAAGTTCAATTTTAATAAAACATCTTGTAATTAAATACAAAATTTAAATAACATGTGAGTTTTTTTTACTTATTTACTGTTCCTTAAATTATGCATAATTCTTATTCTTTCACTCTCTTTTTTTCTCCTATTTCTCACACCTTTTCTCTCTCTATCCATCACTCTCTCACTCTCTCTCCCCTATTTTTCCTCTATCTATCTCTCTCTTCGTTACTCTCTCTATCTCTCCCCTATTTTTTTCTCATTCTCATAATAATTTATTTTCTTTTCAAATATATAAAGATTTGATTGAATTTTTTCATCTTTCTCTCCCCCCCCCCTCACTCTCTCTCCCCTTGTTTTCTCTCACCACTACTCTATTTTCTTATTCTCTCATTATATCAACGTTAAAACAATATAATTACATTAATCAACTACAATTAGTATCACGACATGGTTTGTGATAAACTCTTTTGTGTAATGATAAACCAAATTTGGTATAATAGTAAACTCTTTTGTGTAATGATAACCAAAATTTGGTATATATAATTAGTATAACCATGTCGTGATACTATATGGTGTAACTTATTGGTTTATGTACATAGTTGAATAACAAATGGGGTTAATATTGTAATTTTATGTAATTATTTGGTGTAGCTGTTTGGTTTATCATAACATATGAGTAACTTTTTAGTATATTATAAAGTAATTATAACTGATTTCTATAATTGTGTTATTATAACGTTAATATAATAAGAGAGCAAAAATAAGGAGTGAGTAACGGTGAAAGAAAATAGAGGGAGAGAGAGAAAAAAATAGGGTAGAGATGAAAAAATTAAATCAAATGTTTATATATTGGAAAAGAAAATAAATTGAGAGAGAGAATAGGGGATAGCTAGATATAGAGAAAATAGGGAAGAGAGAATAATGGATAGAGAGACAGTAATGGAGTAATGAATGACCTTTTAATTTTTTTCCAAAAAAATACACTTAGGGTCAAATAAGTTTCTTTAATGTAATTTAACTCAATTAAATTCAATTTTTTATACCGACTTCCAAATTTCCTTAGATTAAAGGCCTTCGAATGCTGGGCAGCCCGGTCCAATCCCCTGATGGGCCATGAGGTTATGGACCGTCATGATCCACTTCCTATTTGTTAAGGCCTATCACTACTAACCTGTTGAGTAGCCCACTACAGACCTATTAGGGCCTAATGCGGGTCTTTCCTTTTGCCCTTGGGTGCCTTACTCTGTATGCAAAAATCGTTAATCATCATCTCCTACTCTTTTTGCTAGTGACAAAAGAAACGTTGCCACTAACGAGCCATGCACATAGGGTATGCTAAGATTCGAAATTATGATCTCAAATTATTATACTGTTAAGATCATATTGAAATCTTTCTATCCGAGTTTGTCGTAAGAAATTAACAATATTTGGCAATTATTTTCCAACAGTGACACTATAAATCACTAGCAGATATTTGCACGCATCTCATACACATACTTACAAAAATTCCAACTGGTGCAGGTACTAAAATGTCTTTTTTCACCCTCTTCCACTCAATCAAAATCTTAACATCCACCTCACAATTTCCCTTTATAAACGCCACCTTCCCTTCAGCAATACACCACACCATACCCTAAACCTATAGTTCATATATCCATGGCCGCCACCAACCACTTCGGCACCATTTTCATCATCTCCCTTCTCTTCTTTGTAGTGTTTTCCGACGCTTGCGATGTATGTCAGCCCAAACCAACGCCGCCTCCATTGGTTCCACCACTGCCTCCATTGGCTCCAGCACCAGCCGGGCCCTTCTGTCCCAAAGATACTTTGAAGCTTGGTGTGTGTCTTGACCTTCTTGGGCTTGTTAACATTGTGGTTGGAACACCTCCTAGCAGCGAGTGTTGTGCTTTGCTTGAAGGTTTAGCAGACTTGGAGGTTGCAGCTTGTCTTTGCACTGTCATTCAGGCCAATGTACTTGGAATTAACTTGGATGTGCCTGTTGCTCTTAGTGTGCTGGTCAGTGCATGTGGCAAAACCATTCCTCCTGGTTTCGTGTGTGAATAGATTAAGTCAAAGTCTTCACTCTTGTGTCCTTTAACTTGTTTGATTGTGCTTCAAGTGTGTTGTTGTTGTCACAGCCAGAAAAAAGTATGTTATTGTTGTGATTATCAATTGTTTTTGTAGAGGGTAAAGTTCTGTACATCTGAGTCTACTAAGACTCATAGTGACGAAAGACTCGTGCACCACGCTGCTCTCTTTTTTCTAAATATTGTATGGTTTTCTATCCTTCCTCTAGTTTTCTTTTTCATCTGGTTGATTGGTGATTTGTTCAAATAAATGTGCCTCGGTGTCTTGTAGTACCTGATTCTTATCATTCAATAAAAGTACTAGTGCCTCCTTTTTGGACTAATTATTTGTCACACACACACACACACACATATATAACACACAAAGATGGTAATATTAAGGAGGAATAGCAAAAAAGAAGTCGGACGCGATAAAATTAAGAATATCTTCCCTCAATAAATTAATACTGAAAATAAAGTTAGTACGTGTTCAAGTTCAACTAATTCATGCCATAGTCTATTCCCTATTCGTCTAATCAAATCGTTACCATTCCATAATGCCAAAAAATTTGCAAATTAGCCTTAATGTCACAATAATGATATGTTAAAGGGTATTGGTCATCCTCAACATAGGAAATGTGATATGGCTTTATTGTATTACATTGATGTTTTGGTTGGATTTATTTGAATGACAAGTGAAAAAAAAAAAAATTGCTTCACAAATATAAGCGTCAGCAAAAATTTTCATGCAAAATGATATTGGTATCTCTACAAATACCACGACATTTCGTTGGTTAATATCTCGAATTTTTAAGTTTGAGTCTCAATTCTTGAATGATTAAAAAACCAAAAAAAAATTAAAAAAAAAAAGCAAGAAAAGCTCAACTTTGGGAGGTAGAGTCGACAAAGGAAAATAATTGGCACCATGACAGCTGCAATTCCAAATATATGAGACAAATTATGCATGTGACATGTTTGGAGAAGAAGTCCATGTCGAGGGACCTTCACAAATTTGGATTTGACTCCTCATGACTCATGGGGTATGTATTGTTTCTACTTATTTCATTTGGGTGGAGTAAAAAAAAACATCGTGTGTGGTGATATTTGTTCATTACTGGATAAAAAAAAATCTACAAATATCTTCGTTCGAGCCGATTCTTACTTAGATACAACTAAAACGCATTCATGTTAAAGAAAAAAAAAACACTAAAATGCATTAGGGTAGTTTGGATGGTTGCACCACCGGCCGATTAATACGTTGATGCCTTAAATTTGAGTTTCACGAGAGACGGTCATGGCTCATCTAGTCGGTCGGTCGTACTTGTGGTGGTTCCCCCAACATTCAATATTAAGTATATGACCACTTAGGTGTATGTTGCCACAATAGCTATGATTCGAAAAATATTAATTAGCGTGGTTCTCGATTATAAAAAAATCAACTAAGGTTTAACTCAAGTTGAAAACCAAAATTAACCCATAATAATAATATAAGGTAAATAAAAAAAAAACCATAATATCAGGTAAATAACAATAATATCATATTGGTATTTAAGTTTTTGTTCATTTTTTTTTATTCAAAACCAGTAATACAAGCAAATTCCCCCACAGGATTCTCTCTCTCCAATAATAGAAAGTTTGTGGGTCATTGGTGAATATTTTCAACAGCTGTGCTAAACTTATATGCGAACTCCTGACTGAAGGAAAACACAGAAAGCTTCAGAATCTTGTGGTGCAGATGGTACAAAAATACAGAAAAGCAGCCTTGAAACCTAGGAAAAAGCTTCGAATGACATCTCATTTCGTTCGTTGTTTTGAATCTCACAACATTATTTTTTTTAAGGCTAATCTCAAATTGCACCCACGAAATATCTCTCAAATCTCAATTTGTACCTTCAAAGTTTAAAAATATTAATTTTTATCAATGTGTACTTGAGGCTAACCCTATCTATTTTACCGTTAAAAAAGTTTGGGCTAATTATAAAATGTACCCCTCCAAGTTTAAATATTTTATATTTATGATTCAAAAAGAATTTCATCCATTAATGCTCATTAAATAGCTCTTAATTATATCGTATCATAACATCTTCTTGTCATGTTCGTGTCAATAAAAAAATATTTTTCAAAATTTTAAAAAAATTATAAAATTCATATATTTTTGCTTACAATACTCATTAAATAGTTATTTTTTTCTCTACAGTTAGACAAAACTCTTTTGATTGTCCAATCAATTAAAAGTTAGATACAAATAACACAATTGTAGACAAAAAATAATTATTTAATGAGTTATAGACAAACAATAGATATTTTTTAATTTTTAAAAAATATTATATGAATTGTCATAAATGTGAAATATATGACATAACGTAATTGACTCGGCATGAAAATATTTTTTGTGCTAAAAATATTTTTTTATTGATTCAAACACGACACAAAAATGTTATGATATGATACAATTAAGAGCTATTTAACGAGCATTAATAGATGAAATTCTTTTTGAAACATAAATGTGAAATAATTAAATTTTGAGTGGTGCAATTTATAACTAACCCAAACTTTTTTAATGGCAAAATAGATGATAGTTAGTCCCAAGTACATATTAACACGTATTTATATCTTTTAAGGTGTAAATTAATACTTTTAAACTTTGAGAGTACAAATTAAAATTCGAGTATTCTTTTGGAATGTAAGTTGAGATTAACCTTTTTTTATAGTATTGCGGTTAGGGATATTCGGGTCAATTTACGCGCAGTTCAACTAATCCCCTTTCTAGTCCGGCTAAAGACAGACCATATATACTGGGACTAAAAATTTATGAGGGATAAATCTCATATGGCATAGGCACAATTTTTATAATTAGTAATGTGATAAAAAAATATTTTTCAAAATTTTAAAAAAATTATAAAATTCATATTTTTTTGCTTACAATACGCATTAAATAGTTATTTTTTTTTATCTACGGTTAGACAAAACTCTTTTGATTGTCCAATCAATTAAAAGTTAGATACGAATAACACAACTGTGGACAGAAAATAGTTATTTAATGAGTTATAGACAAACAATAGATATTTTTTAATTTTTAAAAAATATTATATGAATTGTCATAAATGTGAAATATATGACATAACGTAATTGACTCGGCACGAAAATATTTTTTGTACTAAAAATATTTTTTTATTGACTCAAACACGATAAAAAAATGTTATGATATGATACAATTAAGAGCTATTTAACGAGCATTAATGAATGAAATTCTTTTTGAAACATAAATGTGAAATATTTAAATTTTGAGTTGTGCAATTTATAATTAACCCAAACTTTTTTACTGGCAAAATAGATGATAGTTAGTCTCAAGTACACATTAATACTTATTTATATCTTTCAGGGTGTAAATTAATACTTTTAAATTTGAGAGTACAAATTAAAATTTGATTGATCTTTCGGAATGCAAGTTAAGATTAACCTTTTTTTATAGTATTGCGGTTAGGGGTATTCGAGTCAATTTACGCGCAGTTCAACTAATCCCCTTTCTATTCCGGTCAAAGATAGACCATCTATACTAGGACTAAAAAATTTATGAGAGATGAATCTCATATGGCATAGGCACAATTTTTGTAATTTAGGACTGTGATAAATTATGAGGACGACCCCCCCCCCCCCCCCAAACCAAAAGGCTTGAACTTAACAGACTTGTGATGTGATTTAAGTACAATCGTGTCGTGTTATGTTTGAATAGTGTTATTTCGAATTCATATTGAATGCTTGTTAAACCTCTAGCTTAATATAATTCACAAGTAAGTTTTTTACTAGAGTTGTTAAACAATTTGAGGTGCTCAATCTCAATTCTATTTTATGTTCATTCAATTTACAAAATGAACCGACAATTATCAGATTTTTTAGTTCTTTTTTAAAATTAATTAAATTCAAACAAAGTTTGGCTCGTCTCAAATGGGTTTCTATCGTTGAATAATGACTTTTTTGTCAAACAATCTCTAGTCAAAAGATAAATAATTCTAAATTTATCCTGAAATAGTTTTACGCCGTCTATACCTTTTTTCGCTCTATTCCCTATTGATTTTTGTAAATTTTAACTGCTTCAATTCGAGTTCAGCTCAAGAACTTTTGCCAAGTCAAATTTGACCAAGAATTTAAGCTCTATAACGAGATCAACTAGTCACAATTGAGTTGAATCTGAACATATTTAAGCTCGAGTCATATAAATCCATATTATCCATAGCATTATTTTAAGTATTCACTGTTCTATGTACTTGCTTCAACTCACATTCATCTTCTTTTCTATCTATTAGCGATTGACAATTCTTAGCATGATCTATTAATTCAAGAAAAATTGATATGAAATTATTGGGTGTAGTCAAAATAAGTCTGAGTTATAATCAGATAACTTGATTAGGCTTATTTAATGCATCTGTCAACACAAAATCGTCTACACAATACAAATCTGATCATACATGACTTACACTTGACACAAACCTAATTTTATATAATTGTAGACAAGTGAAATTAATCTTAACATGATAAAATTAGACACAACCCAATTCATTATTAGCAATAGTAACATTAGCTGCCTGCAGCCATTGATAATGGCACTGTATCGATGAGCACGAGTGTCGAGGTCCGCAACAGCTTGGGCATCCATTTGAAAAGCCCGACCCTCTTCAACTACAATTTGGACAAATTAAGGGAGTCTCTATGCCTCAGCAGCAAGGCCCATGTTGGTTGGATTGTTTTAATAAAAAAAAAAAAAGAGATGGTACCGTGCATAAGTTTATTCAATCACTATCTTTCATACCATACAAATTCAATATAAAATTAAAGAATGTAGATTGATTTGTTCTGAACACGAATTCAAAAATGATCACATGAAATAGCAGCACGGATAATAAAGGGGTCAAGTTATGTTAAACATAAACTATTCAATTTTAACACGACAAACCTATTGATATATCATTATACTATATTTCCATAAATAATCCAACATTTTTTGCGTCATCATATATGTAGAAGCATGTGAGAATGAGTGTCAATTGTCATCCTCCTCTACCACAACGAGATAATAAGCAACAAGAGGTTGATTTTGAGAACTTTTTTTTGCGCCCTACGTTATAATAGTGAAGGGTCCCTTCGATGCCCTCAGAATGAGGAATGAGGAACCAGGAGCGAGGAGCATTTGACGTTCTAAAGCTCACCATCACTCCAGTAGTTGTGGAAAATAGGGGTATTCAAATTTTGATTGACCGCAATTTTCTATCCTACACGACCCTACCCTACTAAACGAATAGCCGTAAAAATCGAATAGGAATGTAGAAGAGTTTTTAATTTTTCGATT